AGTTGTGTTTCTTTTCGTCATGCTAATCCACAGGATGGAATGGAAGGAAGAAGACACTGAAAACCTCAGTCAAGAGAACCTCTGAGATGATCCATCCACAATGCTACGTTAGTTGTTAACATGTTGCTGTGCAGTTTGGATTACTCTGTATGAAAAAGCTCTAAAACTAAGGTTAATGTCCACATGGCCATCTTAGCTTTTTCTGATGACTTTATGTGTTTAATTACTGATTTCTGGTCACATTAAATAAAATATGATGTCCATTTTGTAAATTATGGACATCATTGAGGTCAGAATTGAGGACTCTTCAGGGTATGTTCACTGGCCGGTCAATTTCTAATTAAGATCAACCCCTTGCTCACCATTTCCTGTTTTCAAACGCCAAGATGTTAATGTGACATTGTTCAGCTTGAGGTTTCAAAACAGAACTTCATAACATCCATCTTTTATAATGTCTTTGATGGCTACTAACCTTGAAGCCAGTGGGGCACCAATCAACAAACTGAATGGAGCGCCGGGTCTTGATATTTGCAATGGCAGCGTTCACATCCTTTGGGATGACATCGCCTCGGTACAGCATGCAGCATGCCATGTACTTGCCGTTACGAGGATCACACTTGACCATCTGGTTGGTCGGTTCAAAGCAAGCACTGGTAATCTCAGACACGGTCAGCTGCTCGTGGTACGCCTTCTCAGCAGAGATGATTGGTGAGTAGGTAACCAGAGGGAAGTGAATGCGAGGAAATGGGACCAGGTTGGTCTGGAACTCCATCAGATCCACATTGAGGGCGCCATCAAAACGAAGGGAGGCTGTGATTGAGGAGACAATCTGACCAATCAGTCTGTTGAGGTTGATGTAACCAGGACTCTCAATGTCTATATTACGATGACAGATGTCGTAGATGGCCTCATTATCAACCATGAAGGCACAGTCGGAGTGCTCCAGGGTGGTGTGGGTGGTCAGGATGGCATTGTAGGGCTCCACCACTGCCGTGGACACTTTAGGAGCTGGGTAGATGGCAAACTCCAACTTGGATTTCTTGCCGTAATCGAGCGAAAGACGCTCCATTAGCAAAGAGGTGAAGCCAGAGCCGGTACCACCTCCAAAGCTGTGAAAGACGAGGAAACCCTGCAGGCCGATGCACTGGTCGGTCTGACGAGACACAA